ACTGTGGCTGGAGCCGCTCCCTGCAGCATTGCTCAGCATGGCCAGCCTTTCGCTCCCTGTGCTTGATTGACAGTTGATGGGAAGGGAGACGCACATCCTACTCCATGTTTCCCTTACACACTGGACTCTGGCTTATGCCTTACGTGAACCAATGTCCATTGAATTAATGGGAAGATTCCCCATTGAGTTTAGTGGGTTTTGGATCAGACTCTTAAAGCCACAGGTCTTTTTTGGATATGGAGCAGTTCTGGTACCACCTTTCTGAGAGCAGGAATATCATCAGCCCTGTTAAAAGGACAGCACGGAGCAGCGGGGCGGGGGGGAAGGAGGAAGGCTGCACAAAACCAACCCCTACAGTGTTGCTCACATCACAATTGCACTGGCATTGATCTGTGAACTCTCCTAGCTGAACCAAAGGGCTCTGCCTTCTCAAACTCTGCGTGGCTGAGATTGGGAGCCTGAGCGAGGGGAAGCAGAAGGACTATTTGATTTGCAAACATGGACACCTGGCTTCAGGGCTAGCTCGTCTTTGCCTCTAGTGACCAAATCAAAAAGCCACCAGGAAATTTGGCTCGCTGGTGAATCCTGGTTCAGGAGCTGCTGTCAGGCAGAAATAGCATCTCCAACCGTGGTAGCCTGCCTCGGAATCCCGAATGGATAATAATGCTAAATGGCCAGGTGTGTGAAAATGCCCTACACTAATGGGCGCTGCTACTGCTGTGACACCTCGCCTAGGCAGAGATTGATGTCATCACTACTTAGTATTTGTTGAGAGCCAACAGCGGACCTGTTGCTGAAGAAGACACAGAAGATATGTACAGTGTACTGTGCAAACTTGACATGCTTGGAAAGTGTTTGAATTTGCATTTGACTGAAGTAACAGAGGTCGGGGTGACGGGCATGGGTAGAGCTGTGTTTGGAGAGCGCAGGGCTGGGATAGCAGAGGGACTGCAGGTCAGGGATGAGGGGCACGGGCAGAGCTGTGTGTGGGGATCTCAGGGCTGGGATAGCAGGGGGACTGCAGGTCAGGGATGAGGGGCATTGGCAGAGCTGTGTGTGGGGAGCCCAGGGCTGGGATAGCAGGGGGGCTGCAGGTCAGGGATGAGGGACATTGGCTGAGCTGTACCAATCTAGATGGCATTTGCAGTGCAGAATGGTGCATGAAATGATGTGTGGAAGTCACCAACAAACAAAGCATCGAGGTGCATTAGCACAGCTCACCCAGCTCCCTACTTACTGAGGACCCAGTGCACAGTCCTGGCTTTTAAAAAATGCATGAAAAATACACGCCAACAACGAACCCCACATGCACACAACTCCCCAGTCCCAAAGAATGCGCGAAGTGCTGTGGAATTCATTTAAGATGCCCCAAATCTCCCCTAATCTTGGTGTCAGGATTCAGCATTTCTGATGTCAATAGTGTTTGGTTATAAGCAATGGCATCATGCCAGGTTCCCTGTGGGTCAGAGGGAACACTGGATTCAAGAGAGGTGTAATAATTGGTAGCGAAGAGCAGCTGAGACGCTCAGGCAGAGCTCTGACCACAGCATGTGGCTCTTGCTTTGAATGGTCCTACTTCCACTGGAAAAGAAAACCAAAGTGAAGATCTCAAGGCATTGTGGGTACATGGAGCTGCACAATCCCTTCTATAGCCAGTGGGGCTCTGGGGCTGGAAAAGCCCCATGCTGCTGGACTTTGCAAATGAACTGTCCCTGGTAAAGTCTGTTCTGCAGTCTACAGAGAGAACTTGGCAGCGTGTGCAAAAGCAGATGGGGAAGAGAAGAATTGCCCCCGAAGGAGAAAAAATCCAGTAAAGCAGAATGGACAGAGCAGCTACATAGGAAGCAGTTTTCACCCAGTATTTCCTCACCTGCATGCCATGTGCACATGGCCACCACCTTTGATAAACCTCCAGGCTGCGGCCGGGAAGGTTATAAGAGATGCCGACTGCTGGGAAATGTAGATGGGATGGATCCAAATAGCTCTGGCTAGATATGATCTTTGAACAAACAGGTGCAACATTGAAACATCAGCGCGAGACAGCCCAGCCAATAATGCAAACAGCTTGAACTTGCTCACAGTGTGGGGGAAGGGCCTCCCCAAGAGCAGCCCCGGGAGGGAAAGGAAAGGGTTAAAAGAGCTAATTGGGCCCTGCACAGCACATCCGCCACCTCCCCTCGTGTGACACAAGTCATGCGACCGGGGGAGGGCAAGGAGCAGTTTTCTTTCTCTCCTGTTTGCTGAACCTCTAATTATCATTTCTGTGCAAGGCAAGGAGGTGCAATTCCATTGTGTGTCAGCTGGGAGAGCCTTCTGAATGGGGTTTTTCTTCTTTTCTTAAAGGGGACAGTCCTTCCTAATCCTCTTTCTCGCTGTGGATGGAAGGAACTGCTCTCCTTCGAAAGCCTTCCCAAGAGTGCCTGGGTTTGTAAATGATTTTAGTCGTGGTGCAAGTTGCTGGGCTGATGTCTCCCTATGGTTGATCCCCAAACAGCTTCAGCACAGGCAGGGGCAGGGCAGGTGTATCACAATTCTGACTTACAGAGACCACCTCAAGGGGAGTTCAGCCTCGGTGGCCCGTTCACTCCTTGGCGGTTCTGCTGAGGCTGTCAAGCAGGGGGCCAATTAGTGCCGGTTGTGGACGTATGTTCTGTGCGACAGGCGCTGGTCCACTAGGAACTGGTCCACGTTTCCCCTGTCATTTCACACAGGCCGTGAACAACGATCTGGTGGTAAGAACTGTGGGTCACTAGAAAGTGACCTTGAGGTGAAAGGCTCATATCTCATTACTGGTTCCCTGAGCCAGCAACCCACTTGGTCTCTTTGAATCAGAAAATGGTATTGAACCCATTGGAGAAAGTCCCCTGCTGGCTGGTCAGTTTTGTGTGTTTCCCAGCAGACACGTGAGAACTGTAATTAAAATCCTCCATGACTACCAAGTACTGGGACTTTGCCATTGATGGCATGTGATTAGGCAGGAATTTATTGATTGCTTTTTTTCTGCTCTGCACGTTTTGTAGCTGATGCTAACTCTGATTCTGCTCCCCCCGCCCCCCTTATGATGTGTGTCTAACTTTAGCCATTAAACTTTGCTTTTTGTCCTGTCCTTCGAGGTCTGCTGGTTATTTCACTCCATGGGTCACAGTGTGCAAAGGCTTCACTGCAGAGTGCTACCCCTTGCTTTCCCCCTTCTCTGTCACTTTTAAATAGATTACATCCTAATGTTCCAGCTGTGCGATTGACCCCACCACGGCTCTGCAGGGCTAGTTCAGTCCATCTCCTAGCATCTAAGAGGTTATTTGCTACTTCCTGGCAAATCGCTCCATCTCCTTTTCCTCTGTTACAATTTGACCTTTAGGATTATCTTCCCCATGAAGCAAACTCTCCACTCCCACTTCATTTCCTAGTCTAAATCCCCCTAATCGGACCAGCCAACCTTCAGCCCGCTAGGCCAGTTCCTCCAGATGTCGCACAGGGAACCAACATCCCTGTGAATGTGCAGAAGAGTGTTGTCTAGGGGAGCGTGTGTGTCAGCATGTGGGGGGAGGGGCATCACTGTGGGAGCAGAGGAGTGGGACTAGGCTGGCCAGATCCTCAGCTGCCATCAATGTGGGTGAGCTGAGGCACTGGCATCAGGCGTGCAGAAGTGCAAGTACATGTACAATTAAATGTGTGTGATTGTACGTGTGACCCCAGGAACAGCCCTGATGACTGCGGGTGCAGGTATCTATGTACGGGTGAACACGCAGGCATGTCTAGCTAGTGTGGGTACATCCCACAGACTTCTAAGGTTATACATCTGCATGGGAAGAGACAGCAGGGTCAGTTTTTGGAAGCCTGCACTTCTTTCGCTATTATTCTAGAACAAAGCCTTCCATTTGATCAGTGTGAAGGAGAGAGAATGCGTGCCCTGTCACTTACGTCTGTGTCACACCCCGGCATTAAAATCTCAGCGCTGCCATGAAATGACAAGCCTTCAGCCTCCAGGACCATCGTGAGCCCAATTAACATTTTACAGGACAATAAATGTCATTTTTGGCACAAGGTCATGTATATGACCTGTGTGGAAGTGGCGATCCATCTGAACCTTCCCCTTGAGGGGACGCTGCCGGCTGTCCCGGGAATGCACAGGAGATGGGAGGCAAAGCTGGAGAAGGGACTGTGGCTCCTGGGTAGGTAGTGACCCTTCACACCGGGCACTGTTAGATGAGGAGGCTTTGAGTTATTGACCTTAAGATACTGCTGTTCTGCACAGGCTGTTCTGCGCTGGGTGAGTGGCAGAGCAATGTAGCTGGAAGCAAGCCCAACCTGAGTTAAAGGGGTGGGGGTGGGGATTTTGCTGGCCAGTGAAAGATCTGTCATAGCTGGTAGCTGTGAGCCCACAGCTGGAACAGGGTCTCTTTCCCTACTGGGGGACACAGGAATGTCCCAAAGGGGAGCCCAAAACCGAATTTTAGGTATACTGCCTTCGCTATGGTCAGTGTCCAAGTCTCTGGCAGTAAGTTCAGGAGAAGGGTGTGACGTTGCACTCTATATGATTTTATGAAAGTATGCTGATGAGTGTGATCATAATGTAACCAAAATATGCTTCATGCAAAAGGTCTCTTGTAAGGTATCATTACAAAGCTTATAATCTACTGAGTGTGATCATCCTATTTGTATAAATGTACCACTCTTGTATCTGAAACTAGAAATATGAAATATAACTCTGAGGGCCTATTGTAATTATGCAGTGTGGGCCATTAATGGTGGTTTGGAATCTTGATGGCTTCCATTAACCAGGACTATTGAGTATAGATGGCTCTGTTTTACCTGTAAGTCTTCCTGTATAGGTGTGTGCTGGCAAGTGGGTAATGAAGTCTTACACTGACATGTAATCATGTCACCTGAACTGGAATCCATCTTTAACCTGGTGTTTTTCCATTGAGGAGGAGGGGTGGGAACCCAGAGGGACAAAGGATTCCCACCTTATGCAAAAGATATATAAGTGGGTGGAACAGAAAAGAAGGGCAGCCATCATAAGAAATCCCCTAGCTACTGCCTGAGCCATATATACAGAGTCCTTGTATGTACAAACAAAACTTAGAGTGACACCGATCACTATTGGCACATGGAATGTGCGCACGTTACTGGACAACATCACGACAGACAGACCGGAGAGAAGAACAGCACTTGTCGCTAGAGAGCTCGCACGCTACAACATTGACATTGCAGCCCTTAGCGAAACTCGCCTGGCTAATGAAGGACAGCTGTCCGAGTCAGGCGGTGGCTATACATTCTTCTGGAGTGGCCGCAGCAGTGATGAGTGTCGCGAATCTGGAGTTGGCTTCACCATCAAGAATCATCTTGTTCGGAAACTTGCCAGTTCCCCCAAGGGTATGAATGACCGGCTCATGGCAATGCAGCTTTTGCTTCAAAAAGGAAAACAAGCTACTTTGATCAGCGCATATGCTCCTACAATGACCAACCCAGAGGATGTGAAGGATAAATTCTACGAAGAACTAGATACTCTGCTATCGTCAGTGCACCGCACAGACAAGCTGATTCTGTTTGGCGATTTTAACGCAAGAGTTGGATGCGATGCCGCAGCCTGGGAAGGAGTCATCGGGAAAAATGGAGTGGGAAAGTGTAACAGCAATGGCCTGTTACTGCTGAAAACTTGTGCAGCACATGACCTTCTGATCAGCAATACGGTCTTTCGCCTTCCTACCCGTAACAGGACTTCATGGATGCATCCCCGTTCTAAGCACTGGCATTTGATCGATTATGTCATCATCAGGAGAAGGGACAGACAAGATGTCAGGGTTACAAAAGCTATGTGTGGCGCTGACTGTTGGACGGATCATAGGCTCATAGTATCCAAAATGAAGCTCCGTATCATGCTGAAGAGACGACCACAAGGCTGTAAGGCTCTCAAAAGGATCAACGTGTCGAAGTTGAAGAACAGCGCATCACTGAAAATGTAGCGGAAGACCTAGAGAATGAGCTTGCTGATCTTCGTATTGAGGATGACGCTGAGAAAGACTGGGAGCGATTCCGCAACACTGTCCATACAGTTGCATCGAAGGTATTGGGGCCCTCCACATGCAGGCGGCAAGACTGGTGTGATGAAAATGATGCAGAAATCCAGGCCATACTTGCTGAGAAGCACTGCCTGCATCGTGCATATCAAAACGATCCATCCTCAGCGGCAAAGAAGACTGTCTTTATCAACGCTCGCAGAACAGTACAGAACTGACTGCACAAAATGCGGGACTTGTGGCTGAGCGCCAAAGCAGATGAAATACAGGCATATGCGGACAGGAACGACTATAAGCAGTTTTATGAAGCCCTCAACACACTCTATGGTCCACAGTCCTCTGGGAACTTTCCCCTCCTGAACTCTGATGGTACTGTGCTCCTTACAGAGAAGACGCAGATTCTCCAGAGATGGGCTGAACACTTTGAAGCAATTCTCAATGGCCCCTCAGTCATCAATGATGAGGCCATTGACAAGATGCCCCAGGTTGCAATCAATGACTCCATGGATGCTTCTCCAGAAGAGGATGAAGTGAAGAAAGCTATCGATCAGCTGTCAAGTGGCAAAGCCCCAGGGTCAGATGCCATACCAGTAGAGGTGTACAAAGTTGGTGGACCCGTGCTGCTACGGAAACTCACTGAGCTGTTTCAGTCCTTCTGGAAGCAGGGAACCATTCCACAAGAATTTAGAGATGCCTCCGTCTTGCACCTCTATAAGAGGAAGGGCAATCTCCAGGTATGCGACAATCACCATGGAATCTTGCCGCTTTCTACAGCGGGAAAAGTTCTTGCACGGGTTCTGTTGAACCGATTGATCACTCACCTGGAGAAGGGCTTACTGCCAGAATCACAGTGTGGCTTCTGCAAGGGATGTGGGACTATTGACATGATCTTCGCTGTGCGTCAGCTACAGGAGAAATGTCAAGAGCAGAATCGTGAACTCTACGCAACTTTTGTGGACCTCACGAAAGCATTTGACTCTGTCAGTCGCCAGGGCCTGTGGAGGATCATGTCGAAATTTGGCTGTCCAGACAGATTTATATGAATAGTACATCAATTTCATCACAGTATGATGGCTTGTCTCCTGGATGACAGTGAAACATCTGACCCCTTCCCAGTCACCAACGGCGTCAAGCAAGGGTGTGTTGTAGCACCCACTTTGTTCAGCATGATATTCTCTGCCACTCTGACTGATGCCTTTCAACACTGCACTGAAGGAGTAGGCCTGAAATATAGAACTGACGGGAAACTATTCAATCTGAGGCGACTGTGTGCCATCACCAAGGTGAAGGAAACTGTACTTCGAGACTTTCTTTTGCCGATGATTGTGCGCTGAATGCTAGTACAGAGCCAGAAATGCAAGCCAGTATGGACAAGTTTTCAACTGCATGCAACAACTTCGGTCTCACAATTAACATCAAGAAGACTGAGGTCATGCACCAGCCAGCTCCCCACGCTCCGTACTCAGAACCGTCCATCACTGTAAATGGACAGAGACTTCAGACAGTGGACCACTTCACATACCTGGGCAGTACCCTTTCCCGAGCAGTGTCAATTGATGATGAAGTAAACTGCAGAATTGCTAAAGCCAGCTCTGCATTTGGCCAATTGCGCTCCAACGTTTGGGAACGTCGAGGGATCAGCCTACCAACGAAACTAAAGGTCTACCGAGCAGTGGTGTTTCCAACTCTGCTGTACGCCTGTGAGACGTGGACTGTCTATCGGAGTCATGCACAAAGCCTCAATCACTTCCACATTTCCTGTCTGCAAAAGCTTCTAAAAATCAGATGGCAGGTCAAAGTGCCCAATACTGATGTCCTTACTAGAGCCAGTCTGCCGTCAGTTCACACATTGCTGATGAGAGCCCAGACCAGGTGGGCTCGACATGTCATGAGAATATCAGATGAACGCATTCCTAAACAGCTCTTCTACGGAGAACTCACTCAGGGAAAGCGCTCCCTTGGAGGACAAAAGAAGCAGTTCAAGGA